TGCAAAGGTCCCAAGGATGAGAAGATCTGCCCCTTTCCATTTTCAGAATGCTGTCAACCTTTGTCAAGCTAGACTTTGCTATCATTTTCTCAACTTACATTAACATTCTCCTGTGCTATAACTCACATTTTCCCCAGTTTGCTGTAAAAAACCAAAAGTGGGTTACTTTATCCTTCTAGTGCTCCTTCCCACCACTCCTAGGTTCCTGTAATCTTTTGCTTTCTTTCTCCCCTCTTTCAGGCTTCTAAGTAAATCAACCAACAACTCTAACCTCATTCCAATCACTGCCATGTTCCCATCCCATGTTGGATTCTACATATTTCTTCTATTTTCTTCTGCAATTTCTGTGCCCCATCCCATTCTGTGGCAAGTGTGATTTCTTTTTTCTCCCCTAGCATATGTCTCTTTCATGTTTGTTTTCAATGCTCTTATCTACAAAGCTCCTCTACTGAGATGATTTAGGGCTTTACATTCAGAACCACCCCTAAGATCAGACTGTTTCAATACTCTTGGAAGTCAAAAAGAGCTCTGCTGTCAACATACCAATCTTTTATTGCTGATCGATAGTGAAATACTGAATGTAAATTCCTTTTTTCTCCAATTCTTGTTACTACAGCTGTGCACTGAAAGGTGGCAATGCAATAAAAAAATGTGCTCCTTTCCCCACCAAACTTGGTTATCCAATTCTTGTTACTACAGCTGTGCACTGAAAGGTGGCAAGGCAATAAAAATAAATTGCTCCTTTCCCCACCAAACTTGGTTGGAATCCCAACATTTAAAAATAGGAACTGTGAACTGATTGTGAAAAACAGTTGCTGTCAGCATCAGGATGCACTGGTGGTTTGAAACTGAGCATCAAACTTCAGGTTTTCCTAATCCAGGCTCAGACTCTGACTCTAATTCCATAAACTGCACAGGAAAGGACATGTTAAAATCAAGAACTATACTTTAGAAGAAAGGGCACTTTGCAATCTCAATCAGAACATTACCACAAAGACTTGATGAAAAACAGAAACTATCTTTGGCCTTCAGTAAATCCAACTTCCTCTAAATCTGTGTTCTCATTCTTTTGTACCAGGCTCCTATTTTATTGTTGACATGTAAAAGGAGAAAATCAAAGACCACTCATTTGGAATACTGCACAATTAAGAGTTAACTTCTGGCACCATACTAGCATGAAGAAAAACATTTGTCTGCATATTTGTCTATATATTCATACCTGACATTTTTCCAATACTTATAAACAAGGTACTAATTATGTTTTTTGGAAGACATTCTTCTAGCTCACCACTGGGAGAAGAGGCCAACACCCACTTCTCTACAACCTCCTTTCAGGTAGCTGTAGAGGGCAATGAGGTCTTCCCTCAGCCTCCTCTTCTCCAGACTAAACATGATCATACTTAAATCTGTGCTTCTGAAACTTTGCTTACAAAAGACATAATTAAAAATTCCACCTGAAATGACTGCAACAATTGGAAAAGAACATTTCCAGTATTAGTAAATCCAATTAGTGCATGTTTGAAGATACCTCCACCACTTCATAAACAATGACCTGCTCCACAAGACACTTTTCAAAGAGCATTGTAGGAATCCTGTATGGAATTTCCCCTGCAGGGAGGAAAAAGAACTGCAAAACCATGAAGTAATACCAAAGGCCTGTTAAATATTGGACAGATTTACTAAAAATCTAGCTTACATAAGTGGCAAAAATTGAACACGGAACATCTGACGGAAAACACTTCTTTCTACTTTCTTGAACAAGACTGAGAAGATTGAGAACTCACAATCCAAAGGAGAAAAGCCAATGTAGGTGGCATGTAGGTGATGGTCATACTGGAGAAGAGAGCTGTCGGCTGTAACACACAACAAAACAGGCACTCTCCTTTATTTAATAGTGCACTCACAGTTTTGTATTGGGAACTGGCTTAAGAGGAGCTCTGGGTTGATACTTTATCATCCAAAGTGGCTGTAAAATGAATCAGTCAACACTTCAAGCTCACACAGTATTTAACAATGGGGCCATAAATTCCAGCGCCTACCACAAATTGCAATTTGGAATAATTACAGGCTATCTACCTGCATTCTCCTGCCATTTTCAAATATGTACACTTTCGGAACTGTTCTGCAACGTTGCTTTGTACTTTTGGGCTACCTGCCACATTTAAAGCTGTCCCACAGGCTGGGCTTAATGGAATGGAAACGTTTTCCTATAATTTACTTTAGGCACCAGTTTGGATGATAAATACTCAAGAGTCTGTTGCATTAAATATTAGCAGCTTCAAGATGTGGCTTCAAATATGGTTTGGCGGGCCGTTACAAAACTTCTAAATTAAAAAATAAATTATTATAGCAATATAATTTTATGCCAAAAAAATTTCAATATGCTAATTAAGGTATTGTGGTCTGAAGATCAGTATTAGGATATGTTTACTTTTACAGAATTCATAAGAATTTTATATGATAAGTCTTATATTATAAATCTTCAAATTTTATATGATAAATCTTTATATGGTAAACACTAACCTATTTTCAAGAAGGATGTCCTGACAGCTTCCCTAAGAAATTCTTCAACTTTCATATTAGCATTTTTATCTCCATTCCACTCAGACAGACTTATTTTAATTTCTCTAATTCTTCAACTTTCATATTAGCATTTTTATATCCATTCCACTCAGACTTATTTTAATTTCTCGCTAAGCATAAGAAGGTAACACATTTGTAAATGATCACTCAAAAAAATTGCTCATGGCTTTTTCATTGCATCTCGCCTGGTTTCCTAGAGGAACCTAGAGGTTCAACATAAACATGGACAACAGAAAATCTTTTATATACTTTAAGAAACACTAAATTTTCATTTGCAACCTTCTTAAGTCATGTACTTCCATTTCATATAATCCAATCACCAAAAAGAAATATTAGTATCAATTTTAATTGAAAAGCCTCATATTAATACAGTATTATATCACAGCTTGCTTATTTTTTCCATGTAATACAAAAGCCCTGAAGTTCTTTTAATTATTTTATAAATAGAAACAAGAAAACTGACTTTCCTCCTTCAAGTGCTGGAGACTGAGGCTGGTAGAGTAAATAGTGGTATTAGTAAATATGATCTCCAAATGAAAGCAACTTCTGATTTTTTTATACCAATGCAATAAATATATTTCTACATGGATCAACGTTCTATGTTCTTTCAACTGAAAAACAGCTTTTCCACCACAATAATATACATGGAGTCATCTACAGTAATCCAGTTTGATACTGAAGTGCATGAAGCACTGTACAAAACAGAGGCTGAGTGCCCAGGTCTGTACAGCATTACAGTCAAAAAACATTTTGGACTGATTTACTCTAAATTTCCCCAAACAATTAAAAAATAATCCAAACCACTGTCCAGATTAGCATGCTATCCCATATCAGAAAGCAACACAAACAATCCCAGATGTTTTATCTATTCTCAGTCAACTAAAATGCTAAAGCATACAACACAAACAATCCCAGATGTTTTATCTATTAAGTCTCAGTCAACTAAAATGCTAAAGTTTCATACTACCCTTTTCACACTTGCTGTCAAAGACTCTACACTCTTAAAAGGAGACAACGAGCTAAACTTTAATGCATGCTTATATTTAATTTTCTTTTCCTCATCTTTTTGCTTTGAATATCAGATGTATTTTAGTCACTGCAAGATAGTGCAGCTATAAAGAATACGTGGATTTGACCCGGCAGCTTGCAAAGAAATACAGATCAGATAGTAGTCATTAAAGTTATTACATAAATCAGACATGCTTTATGGTGTACTCAGTTATTATGTCATGTCAGTTAAAAGACTACTTATTCTTTCTTTTAAACAGCACGGATGGATTTTTGACAATCAAGAGCTCTATAATTGCAAGGGCAGACCTCATAAAGACTCAAAATTCAGTTTCCAAGCAATTTTAATTAAATCCCAAGTCCAAAAAGTCTCCACAACAAAGCAGACAGGAAGAATATTAGCTGGAAATACGAAGCTCTATGACACTAATACCAGAGATGAACCTATACTGCTTTAATGGCTGAAGAACAGGCCTTTTTTTCATCCTCTTAAAAAGATGGAAGAGCTATGAAGTAAATCTCCCTAAAAGTTCATGTTGTTTAGAATTTTTGCCTCCAGTTTCAGGTTCATCTCTGATAAATATTAGTACTTTCTCTTAATTACCCATACATATACAAAATTGTAAGTGTGCACACAAAAGGAGCAAGAACTGATAATCAAGAATACATGTAGCAGTCCGTACAGTTGTGGGGGATTGGGTTGGAACACCATCAAAATGTCTCTCTCTGAAGAACCAAGAGATGTTCTTTCCAGCCTGTTTTAAAATGAGATACAAATGTCCTCAAGTCTCCCTCAACTTTGACTTATGTCTCAGATAATAGCCAAATAATTTATGTATAGAAAAGAAGTCCTTCCCATTGTGGAGGTGTCGGCTTAGCTTCCTCACATGCTCTTATTTCAGGAGGAAAGCGCTAATCTTAGTTACCATTTTAAAGCTATTATACTTTTTAAATAACTGTTTGAAATAATAACATCCGAGTAAGAATTTTAACAGAACATTCTTAGGTGCGAGGTTTTGTTTTTGTTTTTTTTTTTTACAGATTCAGCATTTTCTCATTCCAATAATCTAAATAATGCAAGGTGAATTCTAACTCTTGAGCAGTGTTCACAGTACTGTCTTCAGTATCGCGCTGACGTCAACCCACCGCGTTCGTGTAGGTGAATTCTAACTCTTGAGCAGTGTTCACAGTACTGTCTTCAGTATTGCGCTGACGTTCGTGTGTTTCTAGCTCCATCGTTTGTAAAAAGAAAACAGAGATTCCTCCTGTACCATTAATTGCTATAATGACACTGAAACAGTGATTTCATTGTCACGGGTGATGGGATCGAGAATGTCTGTACAACTCCACTCCCCTAACAGGTACAGTAATAAGCTGTTAGTTCTTTAGGCAAAAGAGATGAATCTGTTGAATAAAGGTCTCATTCTCTGCCTGTAATCAGTAACTTGAGGGCCTTCTGTAGATTCTGCACAGCCGTGCTCACGTCTTCATATTGCAAAGCACTGCCAGCATATTTGCAGTATTTTTGAGCTCTGGCAAAGTCCTCTGGAGTCAAGCGGACATCCCCTGCAAAAACATAATAAGTATTACAAAGTTATTATAAAGGAAAACTGACTGAGGCTTCCTTTCATGTGATTTTGATATTATGAAAACCAGGCTAATATTTGTGGTAATATCACAAAGACCAAGCTATGGTGTTTCTTCTATTCATTTTTCTTTCCATTTGTATAATGCTTAACTTCTTGGCTGCAGGCACTTGAAAAATATAAGAGGATCTTTCTAAACACTGGTATTTGTATGACCCAGTGCCTTTCAAAAGTAAGTCAATACCTTTGAGAAAGATCTGCTCTTCATCTAAAGCAGCAAAGGAAAGCTTTTAAACAACAATAAGTTACCTGTAATCACACCACCACCTGCAAGAAACAAGACAGTGGTTTTTGTGTTCACAGGATAGTTACTTTGCTCTTTTCTTCAGGAATAATACATAGTTAGAAACCGTTCCTTCTCAACCAAAATAACATTTCAAAATGCAGAAGCATTTCTCACTGGCATGTTTGGGCACATATTATATTTCTGTTTTATCCAAGCAATGTTTATGTTTCCAATTTTATGTCAGATGACTGAAACCAAGACTGATCTCATTAATTGTGCCCATTTTTGTAATACCAAAGAACATTAACAAAAAATATTTTCATAATAAATTATAAAACCATTAACTCATATTTATTCATCAGAATATTGTCTGGACATAAGTTTAAACATTGGGAATTCTGTAATGCTCAAACACATGCATTCTGTCTTCTAGAAAGCAAAAAAGATTTAATATATGAATAGCATCACTGATGTGTGCACAAAATAAAGCAGTTATGTTACTGTCCCTCCTTCCACCCACAAATTCACTGGGAATTTTAAGACTAATCCCATGCCACCCCAATAACCTATGGATAAATTATAAAACCTTTACTCATGTTCTTTTCTGAACAACTTAAATTGCAAGAGACTGATTTTTATGGACATGGGTAAATAATTATATGCAATACTAAAAAAATTATGCATTTATTTAACAGGTTTTCTCACAGCATCTTACAAGCAATGAACAGATTTCACATATTAATAAGAAAAAATGCCTTTTATAATGTGCCATAGATTTTATATAAAATTGGTTAAACAGAGACTTAGCTCTCTAAGTTCAGCCTTCTAATTTTAAGCAAGGGCATGAGTACTTAAATGCATTTTTATGGTACAATTGCAGTTAGCTGGATCCCTTTCTTTCACAATAAAACTGTTAGCAATACTGTGAGAATGTTTACTAAAGAATCTCAGTTCTTATCAGAAAATGTCTATTATATTTGCTTTTCCTTTCCCCAGTCTTATTATTTAAGAACAGCTTTTAAACAAATAAAACGGAAAACCTGGGAATATTAAAAACTAGATTGGTCTTGCTGGTTTTCCAAACAAACCCTACCCCAATAAAAAGCAGAAATGTAAGTGCTCTTTAAGATTAGTTTTATCAATGTTTAAAATATACTCTAGAAGTCTACTTATTTTCCCTTCAGTAAGTATAATCACAAAAATACTCTAGAAGTCTACTTATTTTCCCTTCAATAAGTAAGTATAACCACAAAATAACTATTGAATATTGGAGGCACATGACAACTTGGTGGGCTCATTATCATTGCAACGTACATTAGTTTATTGTGGAATAAGTGAAGTCACATTAAATCTCTTAAAATACATACACATGTGAATAAATACACGTGAGAGAATGCATAAACACAACCACACACTTAGGTTATTTTGTAACCTAAATAAAGTCACAGACTAAAAGCAGCTGGGGTCAATCTGCGACCACATTACTGAACATCTTTAAGAAATTAAAAAGACCAAGTTCCCCTCAAAGTGGCTTTATGCTCTGATGCCAAAAGAAACTACAAAATCATTCTTTAAAAACTGGCCAAGGCATCAGTCCAGTATTCAACTAATTTATTGGAAGGAAGCCTAAATTCACCAGTCTAATCTTATTTTTACAGTATGAGCTCTATTAATGTTTTGCTGGCATAAAGCCTTATTTATTATGAAATCTACTTCAGATGCTATTATGACATAACTTGAGGGGAAAAAAAGTTAACAATTTTAAATTTATAAACCAAAGTTTACACAGTAAGGGTGTTGATCTTTTGATGTGCTCAGTGGCCTCAGCTCCTATTGAAGTCAGCACCTCACAATGGACCAGCAGAATAGAAATAAAACAGCTCTGTGTTCTTCAGCTTTCAAAATAACATGAAACTCCACTGTAACATCTGTACTTACATCAAAGGTATAACCACAAAAGTTAGCAATGGATTTCAATTTACATATTCTAAGGGTTAAGCAGCTTTGGAGAAAAAGGAAGCAGCTCTGAAGATATTCTAAGGGTTAAGCAGCTTTGGAGAAAGGGAAAGCAGCTTTGTAGAAAAAAAACCTGGGGCTCCTGGTGGATATAAGTTGTCCATGAGCCAACAATGGAGAAAGGGAAAGCAGCTTTGTAGAAAAAAAACCTGGGGCTCCTGGTGGATATAATTTGTCCATGAGCCAACAATCTGCTCATGGCATCCTGGGCTGCTCTAGGGGGAGCGTTGCCAGCAGGTGGAGGTGAGGCCACACGTTGAGAACTGTGCCCAATTCTGGGCTCCTCGGTATGAGAGAGACTGCCATCCTAGAGACAGTTCAGTGAAGGGCCAAAGATGAAGAAGGGACTAGAACATCCCATGCTGAGAGAGGTGGGACTGTTCAGCCTGGAGAAGTGAAGGCTCAGGGGGATCTCATCAATGGATATAAATACCCAAAGGGAGTGTGCATGCAGGGGGATCTCATCAATGTATATAAATACCCGAAGGGAGCGTGCATAGAGGACAGAGCCTGGCTCTTCAGTGGTGGCCAGTGACAGGACCAGAGGTGGTGAGCACAAACTGAAACACATGAGGGTCTTGTCTGAACATCAGAAAACACTTCTTACTGTGACGGTGACCAAGCACTAACACAGGTTGCCCAGAGATGCTGTGGAGTCTCCATCCTTGGACATCCTTGTCTCAGTGCTGCAAATTAAACCATAGTGGAGTCTCCATCCTTGGAGAGATTCAAAAGCTGTCTCAGTGCTGCAAATTAAACCATGGGGAAAGTGCAGGAGCAGGAGAAGACATGAAGGACAAGGTCCAGAGCAACCTGTTTTACAGGACCTTTGCTTGAGCGGAGGGGTTGGACCAGGTGTCCTCCAGAGATCCCTTCCAACCTCAACCACCCTGTGATTCTGAGCTGTGAAAAGCCCCACAACACTGAGATAGGAAAAGGATACTGTACTTACCATGAAACAAACTTCCAACCTCAACCACCCTGTGATTCTGAGCTGTGAAAAGCCCCACAACACTGAGACAGGAAAAGTATACTGTACTTACCCTGCTTCTGTGTTATCTGAAATTATTAGCACAGAAGTTATAGGATAGAATCATAGACTAGCTTGGGTTGGAAGGGACCTTTAAGGGTCACCTAGCCTAACCTCCCTGCAATAAGCAGGGACATCTTCAACTAGATCAGGTTGCTCAGAGCTCTGTCCAGTCTGGCTTTGACCTGGACTTGAATGTTCTCAGGGATGGGGCATCTACCACCACTCTGGGCAGTTTTAGATTGAAAATAATGTGTATTTTACATGATGAGTCTGCTTCTCCCTAGTATCCTTTTTCCATCCAGCAGATGTTTCTCCTTTTTATGAATTTTCCCAATACAAGGCAGCTGATTTAAAAAAAAAATTAATAATGCAACTTTGTGTATAAAAACAGTGATTTCAAAGGTAACTGAAATGATTTTTGAAACAAGATGCTCTTATTTTTCCTCACTAAAGCACTCAGGGTATTTGAAATATAAGTTCTCAAAGATTTCTTCTTAAGATCATGGAAACAAGTAAAACGCCAAATTATTATTTCTACTTCATGTGTAGAAAATCAAACATTATTATACACACAACTAGAATGGACAAATGGTTTCTCTATACTATGCCACCTGTGGAAGGGAGCATATGGTAATGTAAGATTTTATAAAAACTCTGTGTAGCACAACCATGAATGCATTTAGTGTTAGCAAAATCTAAGGGTAATAAATTTTTTAAACAAACTACACCCGAGTAGTGCCCGCACACATTATACAAAGTTGCTGTGTAGCTCTACATTCTGTTGTCAGAAACATTAACCAATGCTTAATTGCATGAGCTTTGACACTCAAAGTCAATGTTAAACTCTGAAACGTGCTCCCACAGGACAAGACAATTATTAAAGGATTCACATCAACTAAAATCAAAGGAACACTGTTACTTTAATGTAATTTTCTTTTGATAAAATATTCCACTCTTTTCCACGAAAAGTTTCTCTCCCATCATAGCGTGAATCAAATTGCTTCTCCCGTGTTATGGGAAGGAAAGAAAATACATAATTTATTTTAAAAATATACATTTGATCTTCTACCAGAAGGAGTCTTGCAGGAATATGTGGAATATCCTGTTTGGCTAGGACTATACTAGTGCATTGAGCAGTGCCAGGGAATTCGTCTCAGCGCTCAAGCCTGACTGTCTACACTGTCAAACTGCTGGGACAGACTCCAGTATGGTTTTGGCCCAGGCAAACGAGCACTTTCCCAAACAATTCCTGGGCATGACTTGTGGTTAGAGCAGGCTAGAGACCATTCAGTATTGGCAGTCTTCACAGAATACCTTGTTTGGAAGGTTTAAAAGTTTAATAGTATGGATGCGAGTGGTTCTGTGCCAGCTGTTCTCAGTGGCAAATATTTACAGGCATATTTAATTTATTAGTATAGACACAGACACGGTGTCTAAATCGTGGAGCAAGTGTACTTTGCACTGTGCTAGCTCTGTGGATCTACTGGGGGGCAACACTGATCCCTCCTCCTTCTCATCCAAAGGAAACTTCAGTTCCATAGGAATGGTGTGTACCAAAGTCTAACCTCAATATGCAGCCAGGACCTATCCCAAATATATATATCTATATACTGCAACTCAGGAACCAGGCAGGGCTCCTGGGTCCCAGTTTATTGTGAGATACAGATGTTTCTAAATCTCCTTAGAGGTCAGGAATAAGGCCACCGTGGAACAGAGCACTGTTGGCATGGAAAGGATTCCTCAACAGCATGAGCAGAAGAATGGTATTTGCTGTTATTCTTACACGTATAGCTGAAGGGAGGATGCTTTGGGTAATGACCAGGCATGCATGACAGGATGGTGGTAGGCGAGGACAAACCCTTTCCATTGCTCCCAAGCTTCTTAATTCTGTGCATGCAAACAAAACTGTTACCCTATCTCTGCTGACTAATATACCCCTTACACCCTCTCAGACTCCTGCAGAACCAAGAGGGCATTTTCTAAGCTTTCAGACCCTCTCAGGGTGCACTTTTGCCAGACTCCCTCGTAAGACTCTAACCCTTTAAGCTGTTGCAAGACCCAAACTTGTAGTGACAAACCAGATGTGCAGAGGAGGAATTCAGGCATGTAAATCCTCAGATTAGATCAGGTTAGAGATTCATCACTGTGCTAGCAATGGTCTTAATCTCTTAATTATAGGATAATAGTTATTATGAATTCTCACAAACACAGGGTATCTTAATTCACTCAATTCCTTTTTATTTATATTTATGTACTTGTTAAATCAGGTTATCGCAGGCAAGTGGCGAGAGGGAGCAATGCACTGATACCATCCAGCTATTGAACAATGCAGCTTCTAATACTTGATGAAGAATTAGAGTTTAAATCAAAATTATGACATTTTTGACAATTAAACATTCAAACCGGGAAACAATGATGATTAAACTTTTCAGAGTAGCGATCCAAAAACTTATTTGAATGGCTGTGTAGAGCACCACCATAAGCTGATTAATTATGAGAGCTCTGCTGCCAAACACCACAATTCTTGCTTTCCTAAACTTTTCAGAGTAGCGATCCAAAAACTTATTTGAATGGCTGTGTAGAGCACCACCATAAGCTGATTAATTATGAGAGCTCTGCTGCCAAACACCACAATTCTTGCTTTCCCACCAGCAGTTACTACAGTAAAGCTTAAGCAAAGCCTTCAGTCCTTTTGGTTAAGGTGCTACCGAAACCCCAACAACAGTCCCTAAACCTCAAAAACTACCATCAAGTTTAAATGGGTCAGCTACAGGTCTGAGGTCTTGTTTTCAATAAAACAAGTTGTCACCTGAGACAGTCATATGCCAGATTATAGGATGTGCCTTTTATTCTTCCAGAGAATACTAAAGGCTAATGTATCTCTATCAAAGGTGAATTTTGTTATTTTTATCCTTTTAAGACATCTACAAAAATGGCTTCCTAATACAGTAAGAGGAACACATCCCTAAGCATGCTTATGACAGCAGACTAGCATCAAGCTAAAAACTGAGTTCCTACTAGAGCATTGAATTGAATCAAAAATGCTTTTTCAGGAAAGCTGGTATTTCAACAACATAATAAACTAAAATATCTAACTATTTTTAAGTTACAATATACAGGAATATACCCATCTAAGCTTGGGAGTCATAACAGGCAACATTTAACTGTACCTAGTACTGGAACTTAACATCAGGATTTCTTCACCTTCTCCTCACCCAACATCCATGTTGGCAACAAAAATCTGATTATTACTAACAGCTGCAAGTTACCTCTATTCTACAGTTGGAAAAATTCCTAGAAAACTGTTAATAATTTGCCCAACTGTACATCAGTGTGTGGGTGTCTATTTTTGTCAGTTAGGTTGACGGTTGGACAAGATGATCTTTAAGGTCCCTTCCAACCTAGAAGATTCTGTGATTCTGAAATCAGAATCTAGGATAATTCCAGCTTTATTGTCAGTCCCTACTCTTTCGTGGGCCACAGTTTCCCTATGGTTAGCATTTATGTGTGCGCTTCAAAGTGTGATATATGCAAGCAGCCATAAAATACAAGTAATATAAGTTATCAGTGATTTTAACATCAAAGATAGATGGCATTTTAAAAGATAAAGCCTTAATTATATGGCACATCAAAATGGCATCATTAGTGGTACTTTATAAATTATTTCATTTAATACAGGTATTATTTAGAATCAAAAAGCACACATAACAATTATACTGCAACAGAAAACACCACTGGAATGTTGCAATTATTTAATGAAGTGAATAAATTAAAATTTTTTCTACAAGGTCAGTATGTAAGTAAGAGGAATGTGTATTAAATACCAAAAATATAATTTAGCAAGACCATCAGAAATATAGGCTTTGCTAAGTGTATCAGAACCTCATCTGAGAAGCAAGATAAAATAAGATAAATAAGATAAATAAGAAAAAGCCTAACACAATGCTAGGTCATTGGTTCAAAAAGGTCAGACCACTAATCATACACTGCAGCAAAGCTTTCAGGAATTATCAAATTCTTAGCAACACAATGTTTAGATGATGTCCACTGTTTTTAGAATTTCTGAATTGGAAGCATTCAGATAATGACAACATAATTCTCAAACTTCTCCCTTCAATGGAGGGGAGGCACAGAGGACAGAGCACAAACACCACCCCCTTACCTGCAGACTGAGCGCTGTAAAGGGAAGGATCCACCAGAGGAATATTCTGAGGAGCAGGCTGAATGGTGTTACTCGTCACTCCTGCAGAGCCATGCAAAAAGATTGGACTTGGCTTATTTTTATTTATAGACTTTAAAGTAAGCAGACAAAATATGAAAAGGGAAGAGATAAACCTAATGGTTCAATGATTTTCAAGTTAAACAGTACTTGGCTTATTTTTATTTATAGACTTTAAAAGTAAGCAGACAAAATATGAAAATGGAGCAGATAAACCTAATGGTTCAATGATTTTTAAGTTAAGCAGCTGACAGCTTCCCAATTCTGAAAGTTTGTAACAAATAAATTCAAAGCCCTCACTTTATAAAATAACACAGAAGAATTTACATGCTGTCATCCATTTTATTGGTACAGTATTTCAAAGAAGTTTAATTTCAAGCATTAGAAAAAAAGAAAACACTACTCCAAGAGCCACTGGTTGCCCCAGAGTATGGAGGAAAATCTGTTAAAGAAGAGTAAGAGTAAACTTTTATATTTGAAGTCTAAATTCTACCATGTAATATCAAGAGTCTCCATTATGGTATTTTTAAAGCCCCATGCCTGCCATCTCACACCTGCAAAAAATGTCCTGCCTAATTTCCTTGAAAACAATCAGTGGGAATAAAAAAGCCAGCTGGATTTAAAAGGAAAATGGTGATGCTAGAAGAAAAAACAGCACTTCTCACTGTGAAGCATTCTTGTATCTGTGGTCACATTTTAGACACTTTCATTTGCATTGATCCAAAACTCTATTTTTGCAGTATGTCTAGAACATGCCAGACTGATCTAAAGTTATTTCTACAACATCTGCTATGTAGAAAGATGGCAGAACCACTTTTCTATATTATCTCTTATTTCATGGAATGACTGACGGGGTTAAAACTATATAACACAAAAAATTATTGTATTCCAACAAGATACATATGCCATTATTTTCAGATCTGGTAAAAACAAAGAGCTAAATATTTAGCAAGGTTGAATGCAAAAACAACACTCTCCCCTTCCCAGACCCAAAAAACCCCACCTATCTGAAGGATTTCCCTTTGATAAAGCTGAAAAAAAAGAGCATCCTGAACTTTTCATAGGGTGAAGCATTTTTAAAATGAGAAAGCAAAAGAAAAGGAGGAGGGGTGTGACAAAAACATCTCGTATGTTCTATAATATAAAAATATATCTGAACAACCAAATGATCATCAAGACTGAAATCAAGAGCTTTTAATCTTTTAGTCTTATTAAGCATTATTATAAAAAAGAAACACAAAATTAAAAAAGTTGTATTCACAAATAATTTCATACAACTTTTTTTTTTTTTTTTTTTTAATACAACAACTGGGAGGAACTTTGTATTTTTAAGAAGTTGGTTTTGCTCCAAAAATGACACAAAAGATAACACACCCACACCCCCAAGAAGGATGTAGGGGCCAATATGTTTAGCGCTAGGGACAAAATTTCCATTAATAATATTGTTTGAGGTCAATCACCCCACATCAGTTGCATGGGAAAAGGAGCATAAACCAAACAGAAGAAAGGTATGAATGGTACATCAAGTATGAGTGTGATAGTGTTGTTGTAACAGTTTCAACACTCTGTTAGATATGCTCCCACAAGAAGAACAGCAATCTATCTGCACAGGGAAAGTTAAATATGAAACTAAGTAATACAATTTCATCTATCAAGTGAAAGATTGAAATGGTGCTTCACAGTATAGATGTTCCAGTGCCTGATTCTAGAGAAGAAAAAAAACATTCTGTCTGCAGGAACACTCACTCTTTCAGTCCATATATCTCTTCTGGCAAAATGCTCAGAAATATGAATAACATAATTTAAAAAGCATAAAAACATAAAAAAATATTTCCAGTGGCATTTTTACGATGTTAATTTATGAAATTGCTTCTGCCATAGAATACCTATATTATTTTACTTCGTATGTCATGGAAAGAAGGCTAGAATCTGCCTCTCAATAAAGGCATGAAATTTTTGGGTGGGATTAGGACATACCTGTGTTGTGAGGTACTTCAGCTGGAGTGTTGGCTGGTGCGTGGGCACCCGGGGGTATATGTATGCCAGTGAAGTTACTAGTTGGTATGTTGTTAGCTTCATATGTAGATGATGATGATGATGGTTGAGTTGTTCCTCCACTTTGGACAGAAGATGACCCTGCTTCTTCCCTTTCAACATCTGTCAAGACGACACAAAATAAGAAAGAATTACTGCAACTCTTCTTGAAAACTTAGGCTTTCTTTTAAAACCAGCTTTCAAATTTTTGTTAGTTGAAAAATTGCAACCACGGTGTGACACAAAACATTTATCAACCCAAATCACACACGGTTGATTTGACAAAGTAAAAAAGCATACCATAGGATAAGGGTCTAGAAACTCATATACTTTCAAAGATCTCTCCTGTTTAAATTGAAGGATTGTCTCATTACTGGTCCAAATATAAGCAATTTGTCTTACAGGTACAATCCCTTCTACTTCTGTGTACTGCATCCACGTTAGTTAACCAAGATACTACAAACATACAGTAACCTATATTTTAATACGTACATGAACCAGAATATGAAAAGCTGTATTTGCCTTGCAAACTCTTCATAAAAAGAAAAGACAGTGCCAATCCTTCACCCCATAGCAATTAAATAAACCACAAATAAATAACAAAAAAGAGGTCCTTTGGGAAAGTAACACCAAACAAGAAAATGAAATGCAGATTAGCCAAGTCATAACTGTATCTAGAACAGCTAGATCACATAATGCACTGTAAGAATAACAAGGTTGAATATAACCCATAGCATGCACAAAGAACTTACATATTATTTTTCAATCTAGTCATGTTCTCAAGGTTCTAGTCTAATTTATTCAATGTTGCTTTGAAGCTTGTAAAAGTAATGGTCCAATTGTATTACGCTAATTACGCAGATAATTTAGAATATGGTTGATTTCTGGTCCTTAACTTGAATCACAGAATACATAAATTCAGTTCAATTGTAAAAAGCTAATTTTCTTTTACAGTGTATGTATTCATCTCTATCAATAACATCAGGTGGAACGAGCAGAGTTTTGGGAACAGCTTTGTTAACAGCCAGTTCTTAAAAGGGAACAAAACTAATATGGGAGCACAAAACTCGTATACGTCTAGAGCTGGCAAAATAGGTGTTTTTTCTTTATGGAATCCACACTGATCTTCAACTATACAAGATTAGATGTTATGCAAACACCTCTACTGCTTAATAATTAAACAGTCTACTATTACAAATATCAGATTTTTTCCCATGTAAGATCCCACCTCTCACAGAAAAAGTTCTGTTACTACCTTTATTAAAAATGACTAAACACCACCTAATTCACAATAATATTTACTACAACAAAAGGCTGTAAGGCAGAGTAAAGTCAATAGTATTGTCATTAGGACTTTCTACTGGATAATAAATACACAGTTAAAGAATATATTTTTGGTTTATATTGCAAAATTGTAGCAGTTTACTTTTATTCAGAACATCCAAATACTAATAAATTCACAAATCCCCCAAATCCACAGTCTAATACCAAGAATCTTTATTTAAAAGTATTAAAAAGTAAAGAAACCCAGAAGTAAAGTTCTGTCAGGAGTGTTGAGCACTGCTGGCAATATTTAATGTAAAAACACTGAACGTTATAAAATGTATGTTACTCTCGTGAAAATTATTTTCACTTGCTGCAACCAATAATTCAGACTATGGTTTTAAGAATCTATTTCTGACATACGCAAACAAACATCTGGCAGATTTCTGGAAGGCAAAGGATATCTTAAGGTGCCAGATTTTTCCTTTGCTGTATTTTTTGCTAATAACTCATATTGCAATATCATATTGCTAAAATGCATGGAAGTAAAATGAAATATGTTAAAGCAAAAAAAAAAAAGTGAGGTCCAAAAGCAAATACCAGATATGCTACCTTTTAAATAATAATGTAATGATAGGAATAAGCCATTGGTCAAATGCTGTATTTTTCAATGTTTCTGATGTTAATCAAAAGAATTATTCTAAAAGTTTCAGAAAATAAAATTTAGTTTAACAAAATACCAGAGATTTATGTATGTAACATTAAGGAAATAGTTATGCAAAACACTCATGTTGTCTGAAGGTAAGGCTGGCCAAGTTTACTTGTGCCACTGTTATCAATTATTTATAACTTGGTCAAATTGTAGCCATAAAGATGGATTTTCCATGTTGGTGTCTGCCTGAAGCTAGTATGCTGGGAAAGCTGTTGTAAAAATTACTAAGTCACTTTTGAGGTTGAAGGTACAGGAGAAAATATGCTTTCATTGTACTTCGTATCTCAATTAAGAGAAATTACCTGTAAGTTCTCACCCAGACCTAAAATGTTAATGGATTTATTACTTTATTCTGCTCCTTGCAGCTTCCTCTTGCCCTGATCTGGCCCCCTGCACCAGGACTTCATATCCCCTATCTGCAACCCCTTGCCCCATATTTGTGGCTGTCTTGCGCCGTCTCCCAATCTTCTCTCCAACACATTCTCAGATTCAGCCTCAAAATTCCTCACTGGATAGTTCATGGTCTCTACTCACTCCTGTAAAGGCTCAATGCTGGTCTTGGATGATGTGAACTCAGACTGTTAAAGTTTGGCAATGTTATATCAACAAAACCCCTACCCCCCCAAAAAAAAGCACTAGAAGTGCTGACCACCCTTAATAACAGTGCCTGTAAGAGGCAAATTCACAAAAGGGCAATATATACTTTAAAATCAGTTATATGTAGCAAAAGATCAAGCTCAACTGTTTGATTTGCTCATTATGCAATTGGCAAATGTTAAACTCTATCAGACATAAAAGTAGCTTTGTTTAAATTAACTCTTCTTAGCTGTTTCAAGTGCCCAAATGTCATCAAAGCATTGTAACTACTCTTTCTGCAAAGTAAATACTTAAAATATTCTTTATTGAAGATTGAAGTATTAGAACCATTTTTGAGATACGTGCTTGCAGTATTTGTGAAGGGTTTTAACAGCAGTGCTACACAAAAAGATTTCAGGCTGCTGGAAAAGAACATTTAAGTCAACAAACTGTTAAGTTCTGTGGTTAGAACATCCATAACATTATTGGAAAAGAAATCTTTTCCAGGGAATGGGAATGAACACTAGAAAAATTAAGAGAATTAATTTCTCATAAAGCAGTATTAACCTAGAATTTAAAGTTCCTGGCTATTTGCTTAAGAATGCTGAAATAGTAGGCTGTGAAACAGGGACACAATTGTTTCACATTCAGTTTCAGCTCCAGCTGAGTTTCTTGTCTTGGAACCTCATCAGCCTTTGTGCTTGGATCCCAGCATAATGCATCCATGTGCTCTTTAGACTTTCCTCCCAGCTACAGAATACTCAGACTGCTTGTTTGTTTGTTTTAAATTATTATTTATTTACTGAAGGCAAGACTTTGTGGAATAAAGCTGTTCAAAGATACTTTCATATAAATCAAGGATTCTTGAGGCTTAATGACATCCCCTTGTCTAGTGTAAGGGAGCACCAATTATGACTGAACTTCAGCAGGCCAAAGTACTAAATTTAAAACTTGCAAAATTTTTCTTTTGAAGGAATTCAGACTCTTCCTATTCCCTGGACTCGTACTGTTAGGGAGTCCAGAGAATTAAAAATGTAATCTATTAATTATAATTGTAAAACATCTTTTTCTCATTCTGCTGCACTGTTTCTCTTTAGCTTGAAATGTTTCTAAAAGATGCTCAATATAAGGTTCAATTGGAACTGCTTTTTAAATATATATGTATATATTTATGTATATTTTTCTACAACATTCAGAAATGAACTCAAAAATCCATCAACTTTTCATACACTGTTCTTTTTACTAGTTGGGACTATAAAAGTTTCCTGGAATTCTGTAATATAAACGTAGAATACTTATTATATATTGCAAGGGAAGTGGTGATATTTAATGTATTTTACTATGGCTATACCATGACCATTTAGGAACTTTTTCATATTTGAAATTGCATTTTTATTTTTTTTTCCATTAGCATAAAATCTTGCTGTATGACCTAGGGCTACTGCAAAGTGACCTTTATGTGTACTCTACCACTTGTATTCCAACTGCATTAATACATCAAGCATGTCATTTTAAGGTTTCCATGGTGGCATCTTGACAAAAGCATCCATAAATCCAACAGCAGAACTACATAAAGCATGCCTATGTTACTGTAAAAACATCTCCAAGAGTTACAGTATGGTTTTCAAGAATCACAAAGAAAATAACACTTTGGAAAAAAATGGTAATTTGTCAAGCTACAGAGACCTAGTTTCACTCTGTTTAAACAGACTTTTTCCACTTGCAAGGGGAGGAAGAAAATGAGCAAGCAGAAAGGAATGGGGAAGGTTCAGTCGTACATTCAAACAATGCTGCTTTTCTTCTTATCATGCACAAAGCAAGAATTCACACTTCTTTTTTACTGATTCTTCTAATAAAAATTAATTTGCATACATTTTTTGTCTTGGTTGTGTAAAGCATTATGGACGCCTACATTATGGATTTAATTTCCAAAAATAAACATCAAAAAGTTATTTTTCATTTCATAGCTCAGAAAATAAAAGTGCCAGAAATTCTCTTACTAAATGAAATGCAATTCAACAAATAAAAAGATATTACCAAATTATAGATATTGGAGGCTTCCTATTAATAAGAATGTTAAAATTTTGGGTCACTCATCATTTGTGTCCCTTTTAAGTTGTAGTCATAACTCACTAATGAAAACAAGTCTTCACCTATTCACACTATTGCTTTTAACGACCTGCAATGAATAGTAAGGATTTGAGTTAAGCCTGAATTCTACTTCCCCTCCTACAGGAGTTTCTTTTGCAGCCTTGATCAAGTCAGTTACCTTTGCCTCCACATTATTAAAATGAAGACAGAGCCTCTTTGCTGCTGCTGTGGAACAATTTACTGTTTCTACACAAGCTGCATACACAGATTTTTAGCAAAAGCTCTGTAATCTTTGCTCAGAAATTCTATTTTTGCAATTGCTTAGAATTCATAATTCATGTCACATAATCAGGTGAGCTTTGTAAACATTATCACATTATGAGCCAGAGCACTAAAAAGCACTCATTTAAAGCTAGAAATATTTAATTGGGCTATTCATTACATTCACTATAACAAGAGCTTTTCCCACATGTTGTCTTCTCCCTTAAATTATCAAACTGCTCTAATTTGACTTATAAAGATATAGTGATGTTTGCAGCTGGAGTTGAATAGAATCATAGAATTGGTTTGGGCTGGAAAGGACCTTAAAGATCCTCTAGTCCCAAACTCCCTGCCATGGGCAGGGACACCTCCCACTAGACCAGGCTGATCAAAGTCCTGTCCAACTTGCCCTTGAACACTTCCAGAGATAAGCCATCCAGAGCTTCTCTGGGCAACCTTCTAATTCTTTCTAATATCTAACCTAAATCTATGCTCTTCTAGTTTAAAACCGTTACACCTTGTCCTATTCCTCCGGTCCCTGATGAAGAGTCCCTCCCCATCTCTCCTGTCGCCCCTTTAGGGACTGGAAGGGGCTCTAAGGTCTCCCTGGAGCCTTCTCTTCTCCAGGCTGAACAACCCCAACTCTCTCAGCCTGTCCCCACAGCAGAGGTGCTGCAGACCTATGATCATTGTAAGTTTCTCTTGCTACAGCTGTACGACAGTTAAGAAAACTTCCTTGAAAAAGACTGTATGTTGAAGAAGAAATCAATTTGCTGATGCTTCACTTCAAATATAGCTTTGCCTAGACTGATTGGAGCATATTTCAGTGGGTAAGAGAGCCAGTCCAGTGCTTAATTCTGTAGGGCATCTTTAGGTAAGGAAAACATAATAACAAGATTAAACTGGTAGTTTGGAAATCAAATTGTATCACACTCATCATTTGTTCACAAATATTTGAATTTACTTACGTTGCAGTGTTTCTAGAGTATTAACAATCAAACAGTATTTAATCCAAGAAACTACAAAGAAATACTTTGTAGAACACTTTTGTTGACTTTTAACAGAAATGAATCATTTTTGCATCTATTTTGCTTTTATCAAGAACTGAAAAGCATGGTTAGTTTATACACAGAGCAGAAATACTATTACCTATTTTAGCAGTTTCACAAAAATGGTTTTGTAGAGTATTTCATTTGACTTCACAAAAATTCATACATATCTGTGAAGCCTGTGGATTTACACGTTAGAAAGAGGGTGACATTTATAAAGTTTAGAAATAATAAGGCAGCTCCAGTTTGATTGTTTAGTTATTTTTAGTAAAAATACATATGATGAAATAAAAGACTGGAGCTGTCTTTCTCAGAATAGGTTAGGATTTGATCTCTGTGCTCTTGTAAGAGAGAGTCTGCGTAGTACGTGTTCTGTTACTTCATGGAGAGGCCAGTTTCTGTCTGCTCACTGGTGGTGCCTGTTTTCAAAAAGCTCGAAATCAGAAAGATCTGGATGTCCCTAACGCTTCTTACTGAAGCGCAGCAGAGTTTGGACAGGTCTGAGTGCATTAAAGAGAAGACAGTAAAAGTTACAACTTGGGAGGTTTAAAACACATTTGTTCTGGTGGGTGGGTGTCCTTGGAAATCACTTTTTATCTAATGGTTAAGGAGGTAACTTCGAGGAAACCAGTACAGGGAAGTCAGGTAGCCAGAAGAATACAGGGAGTAACTAAAATCATGAGGAAAAGGGGGATGAGTGATAAAGTGGGAGGAAATCCAATCTATAAAGACTGGGCCATAAATTTGCCTTGAAAACCACATTATTGTACAGGGAGTAAAGGGCTCTCTCAGGTGTTTGAAGTTGAATTCATCTACTATTAAACTACTTTTGACTCCTATTCAACTTCTGAGAGAGGATCAACTGACAAAGGGATTGTAACTTTAGAGAATATATTTCAAAGGAGGACTGTGGGTCGCGTTAAAAAAAATGAATGGCTCCGACCCAAAGGTGACAATGCCTTCTTAGACAGTATTTATATTCAAAATAGCAATCTCCACTACAGAGGAAAGAAAAAAAAAAAAATTAATACGTAAGTCAATCGAATAGTAAGGTCCAATAAAAATAACAGTCGGAGAAGCAGAAAAGAAAAAGCAGAGGGCAGAGTGAATGGAACGTTAGAGGGAAGCCGTGCTTCCTGTGGGGTGCTCCCTGCAGAACTGCACAAACCACCATTTCGGTTTTGGCCCAGGTCTCTGCTCTTCTAAAAAGAAAAGGCAAACAACATACCAAAGCTCTCTCCTTCCATCCCAATCGGGCCGGGCTGAGGAGTCTCCCCGTTCTTCAGGCAGTTATGAATGTAGGCGGCCTTCCACCTGGCGTATTTCCTGTGCTGGGCGTTCTGGGGAAGGGAAAAGGCCACCACTTCCATGAATTAATGCATTCAAAACAGAAATATAAGCAAGTTTTCCACCCTGAGATTATAAAACTAAACTGCTTTCTCTGCTGTCATTAGACACACCTTTAAAGATAAACCGCACATGTGAAATTCATCAGCGAATTAAAAAATAACAGAAAAAGAAAAGAACAGCTCTAATAGGATCTCAGCATGAAGGAAAATGTGGTGATCTTCAATTAGTGCAGCACGTCAGGAAAAGGAAATAAATTATACCAGGACCATCTAGTGTGAAAGACAGAGTACTGTGTAGTAATTACTAATGTGAAGTAATAAAGGAAACTCCTTTATTCCTGTCTCCATAAACTTAGATGCTTATTTACTTTAGATACAAATATCTGAAATGCAAAAGGCTACTCCTGCTTATCAATAATATATTTTTTTCCTAATTTCATTATTTTAAATTTTAAGAATGTACTTAGAAGTATGAATACAGAAAAGCTGCTATAGCTGCAGATTAATGTAGAGTGTGCATGTGATATTCTGGGACATACAGTATTTTGATTTAGCATCTTCACAACATAGCTAAAAATCAGATGAGGAACTTCAGCAATACTACCTGCAGAGTGAAGGGTTATGACAATAGGATTTTAAAGAAACTGTTAACGACAAGTTTAATAGGTCAGTTATCAAAAAAAAATATTAATACTTCTCAAAAAAATTCACCACTATGTTAACAGTCAAGATAGTTTTTTGCCAACTCTCATCTGAAATGGTGTCAATATGAAAGAATAGCAGTGAGAAGCAAATCTCCTGCTTGCCTTTCTCATTCCATTTTCACTGTAACAGTTGGAAAGGGAAAAATGTGGCTGCAATTTCAGTATTCTGAAAAAAAAACAAGACACCAACATGATTTTTCACTATTTTCAGTTTCTGGAAAAAAGGAATTGAGGAAAAGCATTTTACTTTGGTGTTCATAGATTCTTCTTTTCACAAAAAAATGAAGGATTGAAATAAATGTCAGAATCTCAACTATTTTGAGATTTTCCATTTAATTTTTTAAAATACACTTTACTGTTCTTAGGCACAACTTCAGTATGTCAAAACATGAAATGAAGATTGGCCACTTTACATCTCCTGGGACTGTTACAATACTGGTTTTTCTAATCCAGGAAGAGTTCACAATTGTTGAGCAATCTTAAACTGATTATGCAAATCAAGTACTTTGTAAAAAGTAAATACTGATTATGCAAATCAAGTACTTTGTAAAAGGTTCTAAGAGAAATAACCAGATCTGACAGTTATGAGGTAATACATTTCAAGGAACAAGGCTGAATATAAACAGAGATGAGAAATGTGGAAGGATGAGTGGAATAATTTGGCCAAGCAAACAATACAGGTTGATACCATGTTTCACATCAACATCATCACCTGCAAGGTACTCGATGAACTCAGATTTCCACAATAATAACCACAGTGGTTTGGAAACTGCAAACAATACAGGTTGATACCATGTTTCACACCATCATCACCTGCAAGGTACTTGATGAAATCAAATTTCCACAGTAATAACCACAGGTAAAGTGGTTTGGAAATTAAGGTAAACAGAATAATCTCTTTAAAAGTCCCGAGTGAAACTACATGCAAAATTTTTGAGAATTAATAAACTGAAATTCCAAACTGTACTTCACAAAGTCTATTGCTTGCAGGGTGAAAAACACGAAGGCAGAAAAAGTCAGGAACCCTGCATCGTTTTTCCCCATAATTCCTGCTTCCTCAATGTAATGCTGTGCTTTCCACAGTAATAATCAGACTTTGAATTTCTAACTGATACCTAAAGTCACGAAGCATCTTCTAAAAGATAACATTTATCTAATATTTCATGTATAATTTATTTGAATTTCTTAGCGCAATTCCTTATGACTTATTAACATGTATTTGGCCACACAATTAAAACCTATGTTCTTTGATGTTCATATTCACAAATTACAAGAACAACTTTACAGAAGAAAACCAGCAATTTGCACCTGTACTAAGAAAAGCAATCAGATAATATACCTTACAGAAGAAAACCAGCAATTTGCACCTGTGCTAAGAAAAGCAATCAGATAATACTGATACCCCTAACACTTACCTCTTCAGTGAGCTCCCCAAATACTGTCAGAACGTCTATCAGGAGACTTGCAGTATAAAAGGACTTTATCATATTTCTGTAAAAAAGAAAACATTTCATGAACTTTATAATGTCAGTCACTCGGGATCACACTTTAAAAGTTGGCATTTTAGATCACAGTGGCTTATTTCAAGCCCATCATCACCAACTTTTTTCTTTTAATCTGATGTTACAGAACTTAGTTCACAATGTTTAATTTTAGCAATATATTGACAAGTCTCCTGCCTACTATGCAGAAAGTTTTCAGTATTTTTTTTAAAGCCGGTCATGTGTTCTGCACTTAGTTTCTAGTTTGGAATGTTCAACATAGGACATCCTATATTATCTTAGGAAAGGCCTAGCAAAGACATCAATGTGCTATAGTAACTGCTGTAAATCAAACCACATAATGTATCATAACAATTATTTTAATATCACTGGACAATAGAACCTGTAACATGCTTGATGTCAAGCTCAGGATTAGCCTGGGGTTTTAGAAGCCTTGCCCAGTAGGTGAGCAACCTCTTAAAGAATATAAGGAGGATACCAGTTAATGTGTGAAGTTAGAGACATGTAAGCAGTAACAAATTGAGTTCGGATACCAGTTAATGTGTGAAGTTAGAGACACATAAGCAGTAACAAATTGAGTTCTCAAAGAGAAATAAATGCATTAAGGCCCAATTCTATTTTCTAGTCAAATGAAAGAGAGTTTGGATATTCAAATTTCCTGACCAGGATCTTAATTCACATAACAAACCCAAAGATTTTCACCTACTTATGAAATTGCCCAGCTCTGTCTTCGTTGTCTGCATACAAAAACATTTTCAAAGCATAATTCTCCACATGAGCAGAACCAACAATTTCCTGAGTAATTGCTTCATTATCACCAAATTGCTTTTTCATCTGAAAAAGAGTTTTACAAAAATACATTAATTACCTTATTAGACCCTAGCAATTCTGCAATCTAATTCAAACACAAGAAGCTGCTGATTTAGACAAAGGCAAACACAATTTTAACAAGAAACAACATACACATCTCCAGCTTCTAACATAACAAATGTTATAAGTAGCAGGCTAAAGAGAAAGCACATTCCTTTGGAAGGAGAAATATTATGAATAAGTAGCTCTGAGTACCATCTTCAATCACAAAATACTTTTAAAACAAAACAAAACAAAAAAAATTCCCACATTAAAAATAAACACAACTACAATATTGTGAAGGAACAGCTACAGATATTTTCCCCCTTACTATCCCAAAGACCAAGCACTCTGAAGCCTGTGTCAGGACTCAACACAGTTGAAATGATAAAGTAATGCAGGCTTTATAAAGATACTGTAGGTCAGAGCGATCATGTATCTTCTCCCTTGTAAGGTTATTTCACTGCAATTCATTACATCTTTCACAGCATTTGAGCCCAGCCATGACTGGTTTTAGTGACCTATGGACTAACTGGAATTTTCAGTGTAAGCAGTGTACTGCAATTCAAAGACCTCTTTTCAAAGACGTTCGAGTACAAGAATCCTCAGGTTTCCTAATAAAAATCAGTAAAGCAAATAACCCTCTAACAGTTACAACAGGTGGATTTACAGCTTCTGAATAGGCTTACTGTTGACACATAAGGAAATCTCAGGTTATCCTTAGAGAACAAAAACAGGAACACTGCATGATACTAACCTGCAACCTTTATTTTGCCAAAAGACTTAAAAACAATCTCTGAATAGCAGTTATTTTTCATTGTGCGTGTAAAGAAAACTTAATCACACAGGCTGCATTTCCAGATTTTTTTTAGATTGCTGCCAATTTTTTAATATGCAGAATGTTGCCAGAAAAGTTACTTGATTACAGTAATGAAACAAACTTTCTAAATAGAACTCTACATTTGAAGACTTTTGTCAAACTCATACTCTACATAGTTTTCAAAAATATGTTTCACAAAGTGTCATTGTTTTTCTTATGAGTGTACAATTTGTAAATTGCAAGATACGTAACTGAAATGAAACGCTGGAGTTGAGGAAGAAAATGATTTATTTTTATATATATTTCTTCAGTCTATACATACATCTTACACTCAGAAAATATTGCTATACTTGATCTGATGTTCAATGGAAATTTTTTTAGATTGCTGCCAATTTTTTAATATGCAGAATGTTGCCAGAAAAGTTACTTGATTACAGTAATGAAACAAACTTTCTAAATAGAACTCTACATTTGAAGACTTTTGTCAAACTCATACTCTACATAGTTTTCAAAAATATGTTTCACAAAGTGTCATTGTTTTTCTTATGAGTGTACAATTTGTAAATTGCAAGATACGTAACTGAAATGAAACGCTGGAGTTGAGGAAGAAAATGATTTATTTTTATATATATTTCTTCAGTCTATACATACATCTTACACTCAGAAAATATTGCTATACTTGATCTGATGTTCAATGGAGATTTCAAATGCACAAATGATATTCAGTTACGTAGCCTTCTAAAAATATTAAAGCTTTTTACTTTTGAAACTATCACATAATCTGTGATTCAGTACAGCAGTAATGATATTAAAGCTTTTTACTTTTGAAACTATCAATCACATAATCTGTGATTTGGTACAGCAGTACTAATGTTTTAAATGACAATTCATAGTTTGAACTTAAAACCAAGCAAATTTGGTTTTATTTTACTGAAAGCATTTAAAAGAAGCAGTTATCTGTTAGAAAAGCTAAACAACACCATCATATATAAAAATATTTCTGAAAGAAACGTGTATTTGGGATATAAAAATCACTGTATTTAATTCACATATTTGGAATATTATCAGAAACATGCATTTGGGATATAAAAATCACTGTATTTAATTAATTCACATATTTGGAACATTACGAAGTTTCTTGCAAAGAAGACATCTGGTAATTTCTGGATGCATCTACACTTTTATTCTTTGCTACTATAAAGTTCAGGATTGTTTGTAAGCTTCTGTCTTAACCTCTAAAATAAGAAATTGTGGCAACACACAGAAAGCTGTGAGAAATACTTAGCACCCACCTGCAGCACCCCTTTGTGCCCCCTGCTGGAAAAGGGCAGACTGAAAAGCACTGCTCCTGAACTACTCAATCCACCCAAGCAGAATCCCTAGCCCCCCAAAATGCTGTATTAGACGTGCTCAGGAGTGCTCTCCCCATCCTTCCACCACTTGGCTACGTAGACGGTACTTCAATACCTGAGCATCAGTTGTCACACAGACAATCTTACCAGCAACTGAAAGATGAAACCATGGATTTTTGCTGGTTTTCTAAGGCTTTCCAAATTTGAAACAAAAAGGGGTAACTGAACACTGCAGACAAATTAGTTGCTGCAGTACCACATGGGATCAAATAAATTTTAACAATTCTTAGAGAGTGAAGAGGAAAATCTTTCAGAGTTTTAATCTCATCTGTCCTGTCACTTCTTTTTCTTTTTGAGCATTAAAATCAGATCCATTACAGATGTTAAAACTTGATGAAATAACTCAATGCATACTGGATTTTCCATTGCTAAAAAATCAGAGATAAAACATAATAAAAATCATAAGGTATGAACAAAAGATAAGTGGTTCATATTTCTTTTTTTTTCTTTTTTCTGAAGAATTGAAGGCTGTTGCACTAATTTCACACAAATTCTTCAGGCATTGCTATGGCTAGATTTTGGATGGAATCATTAATACTAAACATTTTCAATGTTACTTTCTGCTTCCAAATGAGCAGTAAGCCCTTCAAATCAATACTTCCTTGGAGACTATTGAAAACTACAACATATGAACATAAACATCTCCTGGAACTTAAACTGACCAGCTGTAGTATGACTTTACCTTTCTTTGTTTAACTCTGTTCTATTTAAGGTTGTTTGCTTTTTAATACTATCAGGTCCACTCCAAAGAGCATGGCATAGCTATTGCTTACTAACACAGAAAAATTCATAGTATGGGACTCCCAACCTCTCACAGAGGATATGATCAAAAGTATCTTTATGTTTCAGATAATGTTTTCAAAAACTCCCTGGGTACAACAGTTTAGGTCAAAAATTTCAAAAGGACCAAGGACTAGGCTAGCTAGTCCTATAGCAGTGAAAATAACTCTCACAAACTTCAAGGCATCAAGGACAAATCAATAAAAGAAGTCTTCTAGAACTCCTTTCATTTATTTTGCAACTCAAGGCATCAAGGACAAATCAATAAAAGAACTCCTTTCTAGAACTCCTTTCATTTATTTCGCAATGAATTATTACTTCTTATGAGAACATGTGTGAATAAAGCATTGTAATTTACGCTGTCTAGACAAAACCTTACAGCAAACGTCTGCTGTATGAAATTTCAATTATGTTTATGCATGCATACATATATATATATATAAACATACATACACATATAGCTTTATCTCTTTTCAATCCTTCTGCCAATTTGTTATACAGAACTTCATTCATGCACTATGCCTGCATACAGAGCAGTTGCATCAACGACTGATGACAGATGAAAGATAGTATTTTCAGAAGCTTAAATAAAAATTAAAGTAACATCATGAATCATTTCAGAGAAAAGCAGTAAATTCTACTTACAGCTTCCAACTGATCCATAAGTTTAGATAAAAATTTACGGCATTCTGGGGTTTTACTATCAATCTTCATCCCTGTTTGCATCGCATACAAACGACCTTTAAAGTAGACAAAACACACACACACAAAAATCAGAAGTTATTAAAGGCAACACCCATAAGCAAACACACCAATGCCACCCCCAACAACGACCTTTAAAGTAGACAAAACACACACAAAAAAGATCAGAAGTTATTATTTAAGGCAAAACCTGTAAGCAAACACACCAATGCCACCCCCAAAGCATCTGGAAGACAATATCATCTTGTGGTTTAACAATGTATTACTACAGTACCAGTGTGCAATGACAGCAAAATCTAGATATATTCAGTATACTGGGAGATGTTTTTCTAACATTTAAGCTTTGTTTTCCTTAGAGAATATTTCTGCTGGTTTCAGATTGATGCTTGTGTCACTGTGATGCAACATTAAGTGCTTCTGTAAATAATCATCATCCTCATTTGCAACTCAAATAGGAACAAGTCGATTTTTATCCCCCATTATGCATGAATAATTTTCATATGACTTACATATATGTATAAAGTGAGTGGATACATCTCAAAAATGGCACTTCATGTAGCAGAAACTAGCTAGCTAAAAAACTCCACTTTAGCAAATGGAATTAAGCATCTATTATATGCATGGGTATGCATACATATCATCAAAAGACCCAAGATACACACTTTATCTTTAAATCAGACAAAACAGAATTTATTAAACTTTCCCTGCAAGTAAAGTTGCCAATTTTTCATATTATCTTGAGAATGAATGATTAACATCTTCTGATTAAAAATTATCTTTTTAATACCAAAAATCTATTAATTTCAGATATGCACATGGCTGAACTTTGTATGCTTCAGGAAATTGTGGGTAAAACTAAACAAATATTATTTACTAGGACTAACACACACAGAAGAGAAAATGGACAGAAACATTCAATAACGAAATGCAAAACGTTTTTCACAAAAAAAACCCCATTCCACTAACTCTTACTCCTGACCCTCAAGGGAGTCCTATAAAACACCTTCAAATGCAGAGCTTAAGAAGTAAAAGCTGTAACTATTAAATATCATGAGCTAGTTATTACGGCATACCCCAGTGCCCTTCTTCCTGCAGGACACAAGAGTTCTCTGCAAGTGATCCTTACTTCCTTCTCAGCTTTACTATCTCTCCTTCCAAGCATCTCTTCGTACCCTGGAGACAGCCCTTTCCCTTCAAATTATCTCAGTAAACATAACACAGTTGTTTTCAAACTGCACTTATCCTGATGTTTGCTGCAGAATAAAGCTTGTCTGCCTTTCCCATCTATTATCAGTCTGTCTAACAAAAGTAGATTTCTCTCTACAAAACTTACCTAGGGTCTGCTGGTAAGCATCACAATTTAATTTTTCTGGATTTTGAAAGTAGTAATTTCACATTTCATATACAATTGATTATACCAGAAAAAGTGTATATTCCTTATTTGGGACTGCAAAGCTAACAAATTTTTTAATGTTACAGCTGTTGGGCTACCCAACCATTTAAAGACCCCCAAAAATAAAGTACTTGTACCTTCCAATTCCCCTCTACTTCTGCATTTTCAATTTATAAAACAACCTAGCACCTTTGTATTCAGGTTTTCAGTAAAGAACAACCAAGTAAAAGCCCACTATAAGTGAAACTTCAGGAATGAATAAACACTATGAACAACTACAACAACTGACCACAGCAAACAAAGGACAGCAATTTTTGTTAAAATTGCTAAGTAGGTTCTATGCTATGGAGGTTTTATCAAGTGACAACACTAATATTAAGCTAATTACTGATATGTACTCTTAAGCCCACCTTATTTACCTTCAGGATGTTGACATGTTAATACTAAAAACTATGAAACCAGCACATGTAAACTTGAAATTACGTTTCAAAGAAATCTAAACATAGAAAGATACAGAGATTTGTACCTAAGGCGCTCAATTTAAGTCTGCTGCCTATTAAAATACCACAATGACATGATGAGGAGCTAATACTTACATTCTTCAATTAAACTGACTTTTAAATACATGTTTGATTGTCAGCTTCCCTGAACAAATTTCATGGTATGATTGAATAATGTAAAATTTAGGAACTAACATGATGGATGCTAGACCTAAGGGCCATCTGGATCAGTTATTTCTTTTTGACAGATGCAAATATCAGACATTTTCAGAGGAAAGTAAATTAATTTTCGACTGATATAAGTTAGGGCAACACAAATTCAGAATATCCTTGGTCATTACTGGATATAGAGTCATCCTGCTTGCTGAAGTATGCGTATTTACACCTCTTCCAAAATTCATTTACATAAAAAAGAACCTGTTTCCTTATAAATGGAAATATTGCAAATGTCTTTAGCCTTGAGGACCAGTTTAATCATTAAAAGATCTGTTCATTTGTTACCTGCTTCATTGTTGCTCTTCTGTTACCTATACCTCGCTTTTTTTTTTACATTCACTGCAAATACATCCATTTATATAATGAAAGCGAGGTAATTTTTTTCCTCAATAACATCCAAAGGGGTGTATTTACAGGACTGCGACATCCTTATGTTTTGTAGGCAGCCCTAAAAAGCCAGCTCCCTCCCCTCTTTGCATTTCAGAGACTGTGAAAAACTCAAAGACTCCTTCAGACATTCCAATGAACAAACGCAGAAGAGCGAGTCTTGAACACAGAGAACACAGGTCAAAGAACAATAGTTACAGATAAGGAACATGTTTTTCTTGTCTAGATATAAATTTACACTGTGGGTGACATCAAGCAATGTTCCATACGAACACCGCTTTGCTGCTAACAAAAGACTCTGGGACAGGAGAGCCCAAGAGTCCTCAGGTCATTCCAGATCAAAGGACTATTATCCAAAGGGTACAGATCGTCAAGAAAACACGAAGGTGCTCTCACAGCAGATATTAAGAACAGAGACTTCCTACAGACGGACCATTAATGTCACCTGAACTAAGATTAAATGCGTTGCACCTGTCACAGCAATTACATCTCTGCAGCACAGGACTGACTGCAGGAGACAGTCACCACATTTAGCCATCAAACCCCAACTGGTATAAAGGGCTGTATAAATGGGAAAGGAGATTTCCTGCATGATCTTATTAACTAGTAAAAGGCCAAAGCACATTTAAGTTACCTTAACAAGAGAGTCTACTGAAAACTTTAAGAACTTTCAAAGTTCAAAATTTGTGCATACTCACTTCTTCAGTGACAGTAATATGTTCAAAAGGAGTATGGAATAGCAAAATCTGCCCAGAGACAGGCTTCTGAGGAGGCAATCACTGAGGTAAAGGGCAAAAGCGATTCCTTCTTTCTTAAGTGGTGATCAAGAAAGAGTATGATGTTTGTGAAAACCACTATTGACAGCGAATGACCACCTGACAGCATTCAGTGCTGAAAGGGAGTCTTGACTCAAATACCTTTGATGAAACAACCTGATTGTAATGAAGAACTTGGCAACCTGCAGCTCGAAAACACCAACCACAGCCTACCAGTCAAAATCTCCTGGAACATCAGTTTCAACTGATGAACTGAAGATAGAGAAGGAAAGTATCCTCTCCAGTGCTTGAAACTCCTCCGTGACAAACAGAACGTTGTTAAGTACATTTAGGCACACTCAGTGCTTTACTCATTGCTGCTCTAGTTAAAAGTAGGGCTTGGGGGTTGAAAACCTCTTTCATCAGTGATTATACTTATCAAGCAGATAGCAAGTGAAACAGTTGAAAAACTGAGAGAACTAGGGATTTCTCTGGCAGAAAGAGAATAGTAAGAAGAAAAAATAATTTGATATTTGCCTCTACAGACACCACTGAAATAAAAATAATACTCTTTTAAATGTTTTGAAATTATCCTTATGGAGAGCAATATGTGAATGTCTCTGAAAGCAGTAAGCAATCCCTTGCCTTACCACAGACAACAGCAGTTGTCTACTAGTTCCATTCATTGCATTATTTTTTTGGTAGTATTAGTACATCTTATTCCTAAGGGAAATAATCTTAATTTATTTACAAACAAAAGTTTTCCCATCTCTCCATCTTTGTTATCCTTCTCTCTGCTCTAATTTTAAGATGTCCCAAGGATTCTATATGAAGTCTACCTGTAAGACCATGTTGGTTTTGATACTACTACCTTTGCTAATTAAGATGTCAGAAGCCTCTTATATATCTTTTAGTTTTGTGTTTAGTTTATCACACAAATATTACTTATGGTAAGGATACACGATAGTAACTGAAAGAATACTTTGAGCTAGTGAAGGAAATCGAGTATTTCCTTTTCCTGCCTACCTTGCAGCAATTGGGCAAACTCACTTCATTACCAAATTTTCAGCAGCAATGAGCAAAACCTAATTTCCCTGTGTCAATATCAGCAGTGAAATTTTAAACTGGAAATTAATGGTCAAAGAACTGTCCTCCATGTTTATGTTGACAGGTAATCTCAGCAGCAAGGAACTCACAAGCAAGATGCCAGAAGTTTACCACCTCCAACATTCCTGCTGAGAAAGCCTAATGTGACATGAGTTCAGTTTCCTCTCCCCTATGTCTGAAAGAAAACAGAGTAATTATTTACATTCCTTTACATACAGCTGTTCTGGTTTCTACAATATTGCAAAAGCAGTGGAATGTATTATTACTGTGCTTGCTAAATCACAAAAATTTTGCTTTAATGCAAGTGATTAAATGTCTAATAGGTACGTTACTCTCCTGAATGGTATGGACACCACAGAAATAAAACCTCTTGGTGTTCTGTATTACAATTGCATTATTACACCTTTTAAAAATACTGCACTCAAGGTGCCATTTTACATCAAAATTATTTCAGAGTTCTTCTCTTCAGAATTTCTCTCTACACACTGAAAATTTTTTGAAGTGCATGTCCCTGATGACCACAACAATATACTGTAAAACTAAACAACATCTAGGCTCACAGGAGCCATTTATTTGGAAATTTTTGACAAAAAATTTCCTTTATGGAAAGCCAAGCTACTGAAAATTCTGATATAAAAAGGCAACTAAATCCATAGAAGAACGTAGACAATCTTGGAAAC